TTCACATGTACTGTACATGTACATGTGTAAAATAGCAGTACTCAACTACTCAAGGCTATAATAGCTACACACTATACCCTAATCTCCAATTTTTATTTTTAATATTTTTATACCTTTTAGTGGAACAAATTGCATTCTTTCTCCTCCTCTTCTTTCTCCTCCTCTTCTCTCCCTTTAGGATGTCCATACCTACCATGTCTCTCCTCCCTCTTCCCCTCCCCCGGTATTAGAGCCAGCCCAACCCAACCAGTTCACAGTCTACCAGTTACAATCATTAATGGGACACATTAGGTTACTCATTGATGAGAATGAGGAGCTCACCATAGAAGCACTCACTAACCTCTTTGAACTATTATCCAATAAAACTGTAAGTACTAATGGTACATACAGTATATGTACAATAGCTTGCCCTCTTAAACTTGACTTGTTGAAATTCAGTTGCATGCCCACACCCAACAATTGTACATGTACATTTTATGTGTGTACATGTATGTACAATTAATTACATTACATTTTGTATGTTAAGCACTACCTTTTTTGCCACTTAGAATTTTATGTGTGTATGTACATGTACATGTATATTTTTATAGGTTGGTGAGAATGTGTTTCCTACTATGTGGAAAGGTTTTAGTCGTGAACAAGTAATGAAATACATGTACATGTACATATTGAGCACTTTGTTTTATATGTAATGTACATGTATGTCTCTTTCCTCTCTAAAGGTGGATTCTCAATCTCAATATGATGCATGTGCGTCCGTCATGACCGGAAGTGCTGTATAAACCAATTGGTCAATGCATCAGATTAGAAAATATTTCTATTCTGACTCATTGACGCATACTCCCATTGGTTTATACAACACTTTCGGTCATGACGCTAGCGCATTAAAAGCAATGTGTCATATTGAGAACCCACCTTTACAGTCACATTTGTGTTTCTTCCTCTTACCTATTGATCTCTCTCTCTCCCTCCTTTTATCTCTCCCTTCTTACCCTCTCTCTCTCTCCTCAGGTCCAGCAGTTAATGCAGTGTATTTATGGTAGAAGTGCTGTGAGTGTTGATTGGAGGAGACTAGTTCTCTGTCTCTCACAGCCTTACCCTCTCCCCTCCTCTCAAGACCTCCTCACTGCTCTCTCCTCAATGAGATCTACTTTGGATGGAAGAAATAATAAAATGATTACCAGGGAAGAGTATATGAGTGTCCCCATATGGTTGGATGAAAGAGCTGATGAGGACAGAAATGCAAGACTTAAACCGGTAAGAACATGTACATGTAGTACAGCTAGTATGACATATACTTGTGATTATGTGCTTAAATGTACATGTACATGTATTTAGACCAAGATTTTTCTTGTAAGTATACCTGTACATGTACATGTACATGTACTTATAGTAATCAGCTAGACTTTTCTTAAAACTGATAATGTACATGTATGTTACATGTATTATTATTTTTTAGTTCTTTTTTGAGCTTTTCAAGGACAATTCGTGTGATACGCTGGACTACATGAATATGGTGAGTTTCAAAGTGGAAGATCTTTTGATAATTAAATGTACATTGTGTATTATTATTAATAGTTGCTGCTTCTCTGTTCCTCACCTGATGGTCAGGAAGGATTCTTTAAAGCACTTTCAATAATTAAAGGAGAACCAATCACTTCTGTAAGATTAAAAAATAATTTAATTGATCACTCTTTACATGTACCATCATTCTCTCTCTTTTTCCCTCTCTCCCTTTCCTCCCTCCCTCTAGTCAAGTGATACAGATATTGCACTATCAGAGCTACAGAAGGTAAGGCCAGTCAGTACATGCATGTCAAGCACTTGCACTTTGTCTTTGTACATATACTGTACATGTACATTGTAAATGAAGTATTTTATTATTATTATTATTAATAGGTCATTAATTTTGGTGCTACTGAGTCAGTTCCTTCTCATGAATCAATACAAGAGATATATGATAGAGTAGGAGGAGGAGGAGGAGAGAAAGGAGAAGACAGTATTAGTACATTACCCCTCTCATCATTGATACAGGATACCAGTCTGTTGAGACTAATAAATGCTTGCAACCAATATCACTTACCAGTAAGTCATCATATTCTATATGAGGTTACAAAATAATTTTGGTTGAAATCCAATCTGGCAACAATTGGGTCATATCCCATATAGAAATTTCAAGCTTGTTAATTTCAAGCTTGTTACAAGCTTGTTACAACCAGTTCACAACCTTACAAGGTTGTAGCAACCTAGTAACAACCTTGTATAAAAGTGCTGAAGTTGTGACTAACGTGTTACAAACATAACAACCTTGTGACAAGGTTGTCTGAAGGTTGACAGGAAACTGAGGTTTCATTAAGTGCGGCCCACAATGATATGAAGCTATTGCTACCATATATAAGGGGACCATTGACCAGCCCTTGTACAAGTCAATAAAGATAAGATTAATACATATCCATATCTTTACACACAAGCTACATATTACATTATCATATACATGAAGTATCTAGAAATCAATTCAAACTATATAGGATTAGGATGACAATATTAATTATGTGTTAATTGATAGGCTTCCAGATTATAGATATTGAATTTATTGTACATTATGACAAGGTTGTCACGTGGTTGTCACAAGGTGGAAAACGTGTCAATTCCAGGGTTTTTACAAGGTGGTGGGCCTTGTGGCCAGGTAGGGACCACCTTGTGACCACTTAGCTTGTTACAAGGTTGCCACAACCATGCTGCAACCTTGTTTTTTCTATATGGGATCAGCAGTATGTATAACTGTAAAAACAAGAGTAAATTCCTGACCATAATAGAGTCAGGTATTCAGCGTTAATATGCTAATTGCATTGTTATTATTTAAAGTGAGAATATTTTAAGGATGGGCGTTTATTTAAGCTGGGCTTCTAATCAGGCAAATATGGTACATGTATTACTATCATTATCATCAAGAGTGGATAATTATTTCCACTCTTGTTATCATTTTTATTAATGTTCGTACATGTACTTACATCGTACATGTACGTACTTACATGTACGTACATGTACTTACAATCTTACATGTACATAATGTTGGCCATGAACATACATACAGTATCTGTACAAAACAACAATTGGTGCTTTTCTTTGTCTCTTTATTTAATATTTTATGTATAATACCATACAATGTTTATATGATGATTTCTTTTATTATTTCTTACAGGATGTGGTGTCTGTGGTTATACCACGCCCACCCTCAATGGAGCCACGTCTACCAACATCAGAATAAGGACAAGACTACATTTATTAAATAACATTACTGAACAGTAGAGAGTAAATAATTATTATGTATATTCGATTTTAGTAACAATGACATTGTACTGTATAACAGTTTTCAAAAAGCCTACATGTATTTCTATTATACATGTACATTGTAGATGTAAAATAAGTTACCCTTCTACATGATCAGGCCTGGCCGGTGTTGATAGTTTAGAATAAAGCATATAATCTATCCTCATCTTAAGGTAGTGAACTGAATTAAGATTCTCCCATCATTTGTATGGAAAAAAGAATAGTGTGGCAAAAGTAGATTTGGACACTGAGACCCACTGCTACTAAAATTTAGAAAAGCCTTTGTTTTTGCCATGATTTTGATTATAGTAAAATCATAATCCTGGCAGACTTTTAATTTACTATGGTATGCTACTACATAGTAGCTAAGCCTAAATCCACAAGTATAACAACCATTCTGACAATGTTTTTTTAAACTCAACTAAAATAAAAATCAATGCAGCCATTATGACATTTACACAACTAAAGTTTATTAATACATAGATCTAGCTATAATGACATGTACATTGTTCAGCAAAAAAACTAATGATTACTAGTTAATTTTCATCATCACTTTGATCACTGTCCACAGACCCATGCACAAATAAGTGTGCACAAGCAGCACCCATAAGTGGAGCTCCAACAGTACCCAAGAGACCTCCACCTACTGCTCCACCCACTCCTTTAGCAACTGATCTTTCTTTAGTATCAACATTATCAGGATTAACGATTCCCCCTCCAATCAATCCTCCTCCAACAGCACCTAAAACCGGGCCACCTACTGTTCCACCAATGAAAACGAAAGGGCTCAGTACTGCTTTAGCTGCTTTCTTCCATCTAGTCTCTGCTTCTACTCGAGCTGATTCACCAAACTTTCCATTCTTATTGACAGCCTTTACAAAGAAGACATACCACGTATCTGATTTTAGGTTTGGAGCTTTTGCAGAGAGCTTTGTTGTCTGCATGACTTCATATTCTTCTGATAAATCAAATTCCTTCTTCTTCCTCTTGTACTCCACTTCATAGTGATCAACGAACTCAGGATACTCTATAGGAGGATTCCAACGAATTTTTATCATATCTGAAGTAAAGTAAGATGATGGCCTGATGTTTGTTGGTTCTCCTGGTATTGGAACATCAGTTGTGACATCAACTGATTCACTTGGTACGCTTTCCCCAGACTCATTGATGAGAATTATTCGAAAAAAATAGCGTGTGTATGGAGACAGACCATGCATTATAAATTCATGGATACGTTGTGATTCCTTCTTTTCTATCGTAAGGGTTTCTGATTCCCAATTGCCACTATTGTCATATTCACAGTACTGGACTATTATTTTCTCAACTGGTGTCCCATTCGCTTCCTTAAGGCCTGGAATGCAGACTGATATCTTAGCATCAGTATAACTGGGAATTACTTCAGGCTTATCTGGTCGTTTTGGTGGTGCCATTTTAAAACGCGTGATTGTTTTCTTACTCCATTCTCCTGGCCCTCTCCCATTAACCCCACGTACTTGAATTGTATAGAGTATTCCTGGCTCTATTTTTGGAGGACCAATACAGAGGGACTTGCATTTAGGTGAACATGGAAACATTACATTTCTAGAATCATCTATTCGTACTTCATACTTGACTAACGAGCCAGGCGAA